TGCGTCGCAATAATTTCGTGTTCGCCCTTTAATAACATACTGAATAAGTGTAATTTGCACTAACATTATCGCTTTTATTCGACTGTTTTCAATTGATTTAATAAAACGCTTTATAAATGTTTTCTAGCTCCATTATTAGATTTCATAGCATTGCTTTACAATATTACTGTACACAGCAAAAAAAAAAGTAATATCAATCAACGTAATTCAAGCTGATGTATGAAATAATGATGTAATAGCAAAAAGCAGATACAATATTACATCAATGGATGTAATTTTGTTCGCAAAATCGATGTACATCGTACAATGTGATATTACACAACCGATGGATTGACCTGGTTGCAGCAGTTTGGATGTAATACTCAACAACTTTTTTTGCTGTGTATAAAGGTGAATACAGTCAGCATAATAGCTCTTATACCACTATGCGTCCATGTTTAAATTGTATGCTTTGTAAATGCTTTACAGTCGGCGTATTCATTAATTATTCCACTACACTACTTCAGGCTAACATAAAAACGAAATTGGTAGCATAGTGGTTACCGTTTTCGCTCTCCAAGCAGAAGGTCGCGTGTTCAATCCCAACCTCAACCCTTTTTTTAATTATTTTCTACGCCTAATTAATTTTAATCGTAATCATAGATCGTATCACTCACGACCACCAATTCATAGATCTATCAAAAAGAATAGCATCCTTTCCATCGAAATTAGAAAGATGGAGAGGTAACGTTGGTCTCATGTTAAACAACTATGAATGAATTAATCATTCTCACATCTCCTTGAATTAGCTAGAGTTACGGCTGGGAGTGCTGATAGGTTTTCAGATTCAAGCTTTTATTACTTATTTAGCTGCCTATATGATGTATTTTAGGATAGCTCAGATGGCAAGGCAAGCGGCTGGTGATCGGAAGGTCATGGTTCGAATCCCATCCAACGAAATGTGCGTATGTATGTATGTAATAAATTTTCTAGGATCTATGTGTGGGGGGTAGTGGGTGTGTGCTTCGACAGAAATAATGACACAACAATCACTAAATGAGAACAACCCTGCTCTGTTGTTGTCCCGTTCTTATTTTCGGATTAACTATCCCGTAGTTGAATAATCGTTTAATAAATGTATAATAGTGTCTATTAAAAAAAATATTTCACATGAGGATCAAGCGTCTATATACACACCTTTCTACCATCGCTGTTAAGAAAGTAATGATATCTAATAAACACTGAATAATCATAAGAATGATCGAATAAGCTCTGTTTACAACTCTTGTAAGTCGAATAAAAGCTTCTCGACATATCTTATTCAACGCCAAATATTTCGATGTTGTGGTTGAATAAATTCTCCAGATTTGCGTGGACAAAGCCTGAACAGAAGTTATTATTAAAAATAGTACAAGTATTGCATGCAGTGGAATAAAATCGTCAAGAAGTCGTTTCTTTAATAGGCAATTGTTTGTTGGGCTCATAACTTAAAATTTTGGCAGGTTGCTTCTGAACCCTCAACTACCATTCCAGGGGATAGCGCTTGAAATTCCAGGATTGACTTATTTTGAAACACTCTAATGTCCACGGTTCATTCATTTATTGGATCATTGGCCCGAAGTTTCTGAATCATCTTGCCCCTTAAATTATACACAGTAGATCTGGCCGTTTTCATATATTTTGTGCATATATGGTGGACAACATATCCAAATAGAAAAAAAATCCAGGATAATTGCATGAACTGGCTGGTTGGGTGCTAGATTACATTAGATTAGATATGGAATCTTGTAAATTGCACAAAATTAAGCATTTCAAGTACTATCCTTAACATCGTTTTCAAAAAAAAAATTACTTATCTACGATCTTAAACATTTTATAAATCAGAAATATTGAAAAAAAAAGTTCAGTTCATGTTTCAAAGAAGAAAAATTCAGCTATGAAAAATCTAAAGCTTGAAATAACATCTGATGAACATTTAGAAACAAGGAAGATCTGCTCATGTTTGAAAGAAGGAGAAATGTTTTATGAAAAGTCAAAGGCTAAAAATTCCTCATCTAATAGTGTTCCTATTGGCGAGATCTTCCAAATATTTTATTATTAAAACATTTTCTATGCCTATGATCTTCAAATGCTTTAAATATTCACACACACAACAAACAAAAATGGTATCTATAAAAATGTTACCAACACAGCAAAAAAAAAAATGTAATATCGATCAATGTAAATCAAGCTGATGTATGAAATAATGATGTAATAGCAAAAAGCAGATACAATTTTACATCAATTGATGTAATTTTGTTCGCAAAATCGATGTACATAGTACAACGTTACATTACACAGCCGATGGATTGACCTGGTTGCAGCAGTTTGGATGTAATATTCAACAACTTTATTTTCTGTGAATTAAAATTAAAAGTTTCTCGAATTCGGTAGTTTCAACTACAAAAATTTTCAAAGTGAATTTTTCTCCTTTGGTTTGTTTTTTCCGTCGATCTTGTTTTCCGTGCTGAGCACCAATGCTACCGACGTGCCAGGAAGGCAGCTCCCACACCTGGACCCTACCTATCGACCCATCAACTCATGAACCGGGGACCAACGGCTTTACTTCCCATCCGAAGGAAGGCGTGATCAGAGATGTTATGCCTCAGAACATCCCGGCGGCGCCGACTGAGATTGAACCCAGGCCTGCTGGGGTGAGAGGTAATCACGCTTACCACTACACCACCGGCGCCGTTTCCAAAGTGAATTTGTATTCTATGATTTGAAAGTTTTTATTTGACTATCAACACGTAATTTTAAAAGTTCAAATTTTTAAAACAAAGATTGTACAAATGTCAAAAGGACCTCCTGAAAAGCTCATTGTCATTGTCCAAAAATCTAATAGGGCATATAAGGTACTAGAATCCAACCGCAGAAAATCAATTGTGCATTGTGCACTTCCAAAATTCCACAACCGGGGGAACCGATTCTGGTACCGGAGTCAGTGAAAAAGATTGAGTTTTTCACAGAAGGTAAGATTGCTACTACTGTCTACATATTTCAAGAATGATTTTGAACATGAAATTGATAATTTTTCAGATCATCAGCATCTTGGGACGTTGGAACACACAGCCGAGACGTTTTTGGTGGCTATCAATAAGGATTAGAGACTCCGTTCTTTCCTACACAGCAAAAAGATAATTTTGATATCACATCAAAGTGGATGCACTACAATCATGTCGAAAATTTCATGTAATTTTTATGACCTCATAAATAAACAAATGCAGTAAAAGCAGCGTAATGTCAGTTCATGCATTGTATTAATGATAATTTTGTCCTTTTTAGCAAGTAATATTACATCATATTTTCGACATGATTGTAGTGCATCCACTTTGACGTGATATCAAAATTATTTTTTTTGCTGTGTACTGGTAAAATTCAGACGCCCGATCGTCCGATCCATACCCGGCTTTGGTGCTTATCGTCGGCCAGCAACGAAAGCAAGATGCACTTTAGTTCGACCAAGTCCGCTGCACGTTGGAACCCCGCATTTAGGAGGAAACCTTCATTATCCGACGAAGACGACTATCTGTTCCGAGACTGAGTTAGATTTTTTCCAAACATCATCATAAAAATGTTTATTTTCTGCATGCGTCATAAAAGCACTTAATTTCAAAATAATTTGTAATTGAGATGAAAACTTATACTAATTGCGAAGAAATACCCGTGTTTTGAAGCAACATTTTTCCAACGTCAATATAAAAGGATTATGTTTTCAGTTTGACTGTTCTACAATTCGATTTGAAAGTTTTAACTTTTAAAATTAATAATATGTTAAACTTTTGATTTGACAGTTGGCTGACTTTCGTTTTGAAAGTTAAGTACTTTCTACCAAAAAGAACCAATGCAAACTTTTATTTCTACCAACGGTTTTTTTTTTAAATATAATATCAATGATAATTTTTTTGTGTGCAGTCTTGGATTACAAATTGATAATTTTCAATCAAGGAAAAGATTTGATTTTACAGAATCTTCGAATATTGATTAAAGTTCAATATTTAAAAAGACATTTCTTGAATAATTCAAATTGATGAAGTAATGAAATTGGGCTGTTAGCGGAAAGCTTAAAAGGGTTATCTTCCATTTAATTCCACTTAAATAGAGTTGGTTGGAAATGCTAACATGAAGCTTTCGTGTGATAATTTATTAGCTAGAGAATGATCTTTTGCCTGTAGACATGAAGACATACTTCAAGTCTCCGCGTACATCGTAAGGGTTAGGCAAAAGATGTGCGTCTGACTTTAAAAACTGTCGCATTAATGGCCCTTCGCTCATTTTCAAACTTCTATTCAATTTTCATACTGCCGTACTCTAACGGAACTATCCACATACCCTCTTCTAAAGATCATTCTCTAGCTAATAAATTATCACACTAAAGCTTCATGTTAGCATTTCCAACCAACTCTGAAAATCGCTAACTTCGCGTATGAAGAAACATAAAAACACTTTGAATGCCACTTAAATAATTTTGGTATCCATAACAGATACGTAATTTAAATACAATGTGCAGTCTTCATCAGTGTCATTCCCACTAAAGAGTTATCAAAAATGGGGATGAGTACTTAAGGGAACAGGTTATTGATAAGTCTTTAGTGGTAATGACACTGATGAAGACTGCACATTGTAGTCAAAACATGTATCTGTCATGGATACCAAAATTATTTAAGTGGAATTAAATGGAAGATAACCCTTTTTTTGCTGTTTTAATTCAAATTGAGGTGTAAATATATGTATGTCCCTTCTCAGACAGAGAGGAACATTTTCAAAGTTTCAGAGTGTTGACAATTGTTCCAAAGAATACTTTAAGTTTTGTCTTTCTCTTTTCAAAATTCACCAAATGACCCATTCGGCCTTATGGCTTCCGACCTAATGACTCATTCGACCTAATGATCCATTCGGTTTAATAACCGTGCACTCGTTTTACAGTTGTACTAAAATCTGACAAATTTTCCTATAGGAGCTAAAAGAAAGGTAAAACTCACCGGAAAGCATCCTCCAGCAGCGTATCGAGCCGACTGGTGTCCTGCATGATGCTGTGTGCATTTTTCCGATAGAGCGATAGATTGTTCACAAAACTCCTGGCCGCGTCCAGGTGAGCAAATAGTACCGAGAAGCCGAAATCCTGAGTAGTGGTTTCCCACGGCGTTACGCAACTCGTCACCAGCGTGGAACTCTGCGTCTGCGATGGGTCTACTGGGAAGGTGGTAGTAAAACGAGCATTTAATTTGAATGATGATTTTGAATAGCTCTCCCTAAAGGGATAAATACCTAGGACATCGTTGATTGTGCGATCCTTAACCAGTATGTATGGCAGTATGTGGGGTATCGTCGTGTTCGGTGCCTGCGGATTCGAGCAGTCGTTCATGCTGTTTAGCGTAGGTCGTAGTTTAGCTTCGAAATTAAATGCACTGTCGGTGTACTTTTGGCGCAATGTGTGCCATGTGGTTTCCAGCTTTTGGATCTGTCAAGTGGAGAATTTGTGAAATGGTTGCTAAGAACAAATGATCAAAAGAGGTGGTGGTACCTGTGGCATCGATAGTCCGAGCATGATGGCACAGAATCCAAACAGATTTCCGAGGGCAGTTTTGGTTTCCACCGCGATCTGGATCCACTTGTTCAAGGTTTCGGCCCGTTCTAGATCGTCCTGGCAGGTTAAAATTGTAACGGCTACCAGCAGTTTCATACATTCGGTACGTTCGATAAGATCCAAGCGGAACTGGCGGCCATTTTCTAAGGTGATCAACTCCAAACCGGTACAATTCAGAAGGTTGTCTTTTTTCTCTTCGTCTTTTTCTGGAAAATGAAAGAAACGATTTATTACGAAATTCCAACGAAATTCTCTATTACGAACCTAATATTAAGCTAATATCCACCCGTGTCAAGTGCGCCGCAATCACCCTGGAGCTCGTTTCGCTCAACATCATCCGGAACGTATTGAGCGTGCCGCTATCCAACGGTTTGTATTCACAGAACGGAAGCAAAAGTGTGTTGAAGTTTTCGAGATCGTAACGCGAGACCTGCTCGAACGTTGGAATGTTCATCGAGAACAGGGCTTCTTCCGCTGCCAGTGGATCGAAGTCGACATACGATCTTAGCGTGATCGATGACATCGAGGTCGGAATGAAGCGAGGATTTTTCAGTATCACTCCACCTCGATGTTGCACGACGATCTCCTCTCCGGCAGCGGAACTCTGTGCAGAATCTCCCGAGCCATTCCCGGAGTCCGATCCACTTGGGTGGTACGATCCCATTCGATGGATCGGTCCATGTGGATCGACTTCCTTCATAGAATCGTTCCTGTGAACTCCCCGTCCTGGCTTCGGTGGTGGACTAGGAGGTTGTTGCGATTCCTCTTCATCTTCGGCGAAATGTTTCTGCTCCAGGCAAGGACTCAACGAGTGTTCACTCGGTTCTTTATTGATGCTAGACGTTCGCGAGCCAAGAATTCCGTGGGAAGACCTTAGACTGTTTGATCGTGGAAGAGATTGCGAACTGGGTCCCGATCGAGTCAATGTTTGCGATTTGACGACTCCATCGGCGCTGGAGCATTTCTCGTCCGTTGACCGTGCCAAATCGTTATTATGGATGACTCCATCTGCACTGTTACACTTCTCGGTTGAACCAGTCAACCTTGAAGGTTTCGAAAGCGTTCTGCTACTATCGGATCCATTGGATTGTATCACACCATCAGCGCTGCAGTACCGCTGTTGAGCCGTCGGAGCTCCTTGAAGGGGGGTTAGAGATTGCGAACGTTGCTTCTTCGAAGGGAGACGAGGGGGCGTTTCACGCTTTGTCCTTGGAGGCGAAGACATCGGACTTCGATATGTGTTCGTTTGCTGAGTGTATGGATTATACCTGGGAAAACAAAACCGTTTAGTATAACAACGCTAATCGTGTTGATGATGCCCTTTACCTGAACCCAGGAGACGACGGTACCGGTGAGGGTGAGTTGAGTGGGCTTGGCCCACGAATGCCACCCACACCATGGCCATACTTGGAAGCGTAGAACGACAGCGGGTAGAGCCTGTTGCAGGGGAACTGAATCCGTGCTCCCGAGGCGGCAGAGATGACTTTCCCTAGAAAAGGATCGAACAACGCACAGAGTACATGGGTTAATGAACGAACGATTATTATGAGCTCGTTAGGCCTCACCGAGGATGGTCTTACCTGAGCCTACGTAGAATGTTATCAAATCAGGAACTGTGTCATAGGCGTCGTCTTCGAACTGATATTGTACTCTCTCGTATACGGTTTCGGGCTGAATCAGCAGCTGCGGAAGAAAGAGCGGAAGCAGAAAAGGAAAACAGTTAGATACCGTGGGTGGGTGGCTGGTTGGTTGGCATATCATGATTCCAACAGCAAAACACAGGAAGAATAAGTACGGGATGTGAAAAATGATGGCTATGCTGGAAATGTGATAAATTTATGGAACTGGAGTTGAGGAAGGAGGCAGGGATTTTTTTTTCTGGTTTTGCTGGAAAGAGCAAAATTTTGGTTTTTAGATTGTTTTTAAAGGGGAAATTGATGTAATATCGGCCTAAATGCTCCTAATTTGGGACCATACATATGTAAATTCAGCAATCGACTAAATTTTCAATGGCGACCAAAAATATCCATTAGTACCGTTCCAATGACGAAAATCGATGCCCAGCGCCATATTTAAATCCAAGGTGGCGGCATCCGGTATCAGAAAAAGTGGGCAATACTACCAATACCTTCAATATGGATATTTCCGGAATCTGAATGACGTATAAAACCAGTAAATCAATGTCCGACGCCATTTTGAAATCCAAGATGGCGGCTTCCAATTTCAGAAAAAATGGGAAATGCTGCCAAATACCCTTCAATATGGATATCTTCGGAATCGGGATGACGTCTAGAGACCGAAAATCGATGTCCAGCGCCATCTTGAAATCAAAGATGGCGGCTGCCAATTTCAGAAAAAGTGGGAAATACTGCCAAATACCCTACAATCTAGGTTTTTTTTTCGGAATCAGGATGACGTCTAGAGACCGAAAATCAATGTCCAGCGCCATTTTGAAATCAAAGATGGTCGCATCCGGTATCAGAAAAAGTGGAAAATACTATCAAATACCCTTCAATATGGCTATTTCCGGAATCGGAATGACGTTTAAAACCTGTAAATCGATGTCCGACGCCATTTTAAAATCCAATATGGTGGCTTACAATTTCAGAAAAAGTTGGAAATGCTGCCAAATACCCTTCAATATGGATATTTTCGGAATCGGGATGTCGTCTAGAGACCGAAAATCGATGTCCAGCGCTATCTTGAAATAAAAGATGGCGGCTGCCGATTTCAGAAAAAATGGGAAATACTGCCAAAGACCCTACAATATGTTTTTTTTTCGGAATCAGGATGACGTCTAGAGACCGTTTTTGAAAGCGAAAATTTTAACTTACTTTATTTAATGGCTTTCTCAGTCCTAAAACACTCTTTAATTTTTTTAATTTAATTTTTAAAATTATCGTTGTCCTCAAGTGGTGATCAAAATTGTGATGAAGTAGTTTTTTCAATTTAATATGATTAAATGAACAAAAATATTAAAAATCAGCCATAACAACGACTTAACTATTGACAATAACGGCAAACAATATTTTCCTTTGAAAAAGGCCACAACCCATGGCCAAAATGTCAGCCAGATTACATCGTAATCGCTGCAGTGTTTTAAGACTGAGAAAACCGTTAATCAAAGCAACATTTTAGGAGTCCGCATCGTGCTCTCTTGCCGTGCGGATCTATTTGCTTTTTGCTTAAGGAAGTGTTACTACTACCTAAAGCTACAACAAATTTAAACAGCACTTTTCAGTGCTCAACCTGTAAAAATTTTCTACCTTGTTCAACTCCTCTTATTCCTCTTCGATCCTTGTTTGGACCCTACCCGAGGTAATCTTTCTTGGATATCAATTTGGAAAATTCCTCTTCGATCCTTCAGATTCTTATAGTAATCTGCTTGGAAGTCGATTTGGATAAAAATTTACTGCCGCCATGGCGCCTAAACGCAAAAGAAAGGGGCAAACTCTTGACCCCCCTTCTGAAGAAATTAATTTGAGTAATCAATTTGATTTGCTCACGGATGATGAGAATGATCCATCATCCAAGAAAAATTCTAGTAAACTTTCCCGGCTTAATGCCAAGAAGGAAAAGATTCCCCCTATTGTGATAACCACTACCGATTTCCATGCTCTTCGCATGGAACTTTTGAATTTCGTGAAAGTTAAGTTTTCACTACAAATTGGACGTCGGGGTGAATGCCGTGTATTGGCTGAAACCTTGGACGGATTTAAATGTCTTCTCAAGTATCTTACTGAGAAGAAGCACAAATTTTTTACTTACGACACCAAAACTGAACGTGTGTTCAAGGTTGTCATGAAAGGACTGCCCAGTGGTGAATCCCTGGATCAGATCAAAGATGAACTGGCAAAATTACTTGGAGTTGTGCCACTCCAAGTAATCAAAATGAAAATGAAATCCCGTCCTGGCGATTCGCGCAACGGGATTTCTAATGATTTTTATTTAGTTCACTTCAAGTCTAGTGAACTAAACAACCTTAAGGCCTTAGAAAAAGCTAGCCTTATGCTCCATGTCCGAGTGAAGTGGGAACACTTCAGGAAGACTGGAGGAAATTTCCAAAACCTCACCCAGTGCCGTAAGTGCCAGGGATGGGGTCACGGAACTAAAAATTGCTACATGCCAGCTAAATGCATGAATTGTGGTGATTCCTCTCACGCAAAGGACGACTGTCCTGTGAAGGAAGATCCTAAGAAATTTAAATGTTCAAATTGTGGTGAAAACCACAAATCCAATTTTTGGGAATGTAAGACTCGCAAAGCGATCCTACAATCTCGTTCTAACCGACAGGTAGGAAACGCTCCACGTTTCCGACCAGGTATAAATTCCTCTGCTGTTTACAACGGTCAGCGAAGAACAAATTCTACATTCGTACCCGTAGGTACAAATATCACCCCTGCTTCAAATGTTTCATCTGTACCTACTCCCCTCGCTGCTAACAATGTTCAGCGAGTTAATGGAGCTACCTATGCTGCTATTGCAGCGGGTAGAAATCAAAATACTAACCAACGTTCTAACGGAAATTTTGACAACTTTGACTTAGGAAGCATTAATGCTCCTAAAATGGAATTTTTACAGAATTCATTAATTGACATGATTTCTGATATGCTTAAATCTAACTCCATGTTTGATGCTATTCAAACTGGAGTAAAATTTGCTAATAATATTGTCATGACTTTAAAATTCAGTAATGGATTTTAAAGCATTAAATATTGTAAATTGGAATGCTCGATCTCTTAAAGATAATGAAGACGAGCTATTTAACTTTTTGAGAGTTCATAACGTGCATATTGCCGTTATAACTGAAACGTTCCTTAAACCTGGCCATAAGGTTAAGAAGGACTCAAATTATTTAATTTATAGAAATGATCGTCTTGATGGACCCTGTGGTGGCGTTGCCATCATTATTCATAGACAAATCAAACACAAAATACTTTCTTCATTTGAAACCAAAGTTTTTGAAACTTTGGGAGTTTCTGTTGAAACAAAATTTGGACAACTTACGTTTATAGCTGCCTATTTGCCATTCCAATGCGTAGGCCAGCAAAAGAATTTTCTCAAGGGTGACCTTCAGAAACTTACCCGTCATAGGTCTAAATTCTTCATTATTGGTGATTTTAATGCAAAACGCCGCTCATGGAATAATGCTCAAAGCAATTCCAATGGTAATATTCTGTTTGATGATTGTTCTGCAGGCTATTACACTATTCAATATCCAAACAGCCCAACATGCTTTTCTTCTGCAAGAAATCCCTCAACTATTGATTTGGTCTTAACTGATTCATGTCATCTTTGTAGCCAATTGGTTACCCATGCTGACTTCGGTTCTGATCACCTTCCAGGAACTTTTGAAATATCCCAAGAAATAATTTCTAATCCCAACAGCTTTACTTTCAATTACCATAGGGCTGATTGGGAGCAATATCGAACATTTATGGAATATAACTTCGATCCAAACATTCCTTTGCAAACCAAAGATGAAATTAATTATGCTCTTGAATCTCTGACTACTTCTATAGTTGAAGCAAGAGCTGCCTCAGTACCAAAATGCGAGGTTAAATTCGATTCAATTATAATAGACGATGATCTTCAGCTCTTGATCCGTCTTAAAAATGTCCGTAGGAGACAATTTCAAAGAACACGCGATCCTGCCATGAAAGTTATCTGGCGGGATTTGCAAAAACAAATTAAAAAGCGATTCTCTGCCCTGAGGAACAAAACTTTTGAAAATAATGTTTCTAAATTAGACCCGAGTTCCAAACCCTTTTGGAAACTCACAAAAATTTTGAAAAAACCTCAAAAGCCAATTCCAGCGCTTAAAGAAGGTGGTAAAATTTTGATCACATTTGGAAAAAGCTCAGAAACTTGCTAAGCAATTCGAGAGTTCCCATAATTTCAGTTTGGGTCTTACTAGTCCTATTGAGAATCAGGTTGCTCGGGATTTTCGGAATATTTTCTCTCGGGAAAATATTTTTGATGATTCCTGGGGGACTGATTTGGACGAAGTAAGGTCTATAACTAAAAAATTTCAAAATCCAGGCTTTCAAGCTCCAGGTGATGATGGAATTTTCTATATCCTCATCAAAAAACTGACAGAGAGTACCTTGTCTTTCCTGGTAAAATTATTTAACAGATGTTTCCATTTGGCATACTTTCCTGATAAATGGAAAAATGCAAAAGTTGTTCCAATTTTGAAGCAGGATAAAAATCCAGCTGAAGCTTCTAGCTACCGTCCAATAAGTTTGCTTTCTTCAATAAGTAAACTTTTTGAAAAAATAATTTTGAATAGAATGATGCTTCACATCAATACGAACTCAATTTTTGCAGATGAGCAGTTTGGATTTCGCCATGGGCATTCAACTACTCATCAACTCTTAAGAGTTACCAATTTAATTCGTTCAAACAAATCTGAAGGCCACTCAACTGGAGTTGCTCTTCTAGACATAGAAAAAGCATTCGACAGTGTTTGGCATGAAGGTTTGATTGCTAAATTGAAAAAGTTTAATTTTCCACTTTACATTATGAAATTAGTCCAAAATTATTTAACTGACAGAACTCTGCAGGTAAATTATCAAAATTCCAAATCTAATCGACTACCTGTTAGAGCAGGAGTTCCTCAGGGTAGCATTCTTGGGCCTATATTGTATAACATTTTCACTTCGGACCTCCCTGATTTGCCT